CACAGGCCCCCAAAAGAAATAGTGCTTTGGCACCACCTAGTGGAATCTTGGGGCCAAGCACCAGCGTCGAACTGAGGGGAGGAGCTTCATTTCGTCAAAACATCCAGTCCAAGGCTGCTGGGATTGAGGCAAACTTACAATGTGCGCCATGATACTGAGCTTGTGCAGCGAGGGCTGCCGGTTGAAAAGGACGATGTCGCCGTCTATCATGTGCCGCTCCACGATGTCACCGAAGCGCAGCTCCTGCGCTATCTTCTCTCGGTTGCCGTATTTCAAGAACCTGCCAGGGAGCAAACGTGAGGGCGGGGAAAATTCCATCTGTTGAACGAGCGCCGACGCCTCGCGTCACCTTTTCATTTGATTGCGTCGATTCTGGATGAAGTTGGCGCCGGGGTGAACGTCCGGGCCGTTGCGCACAAGTTTCCTCATGAGCTCCAGGTTGGCTTTGTTGACCTTTCACGGTCACACATTTGACGCGGTCACGCATGAGACAAATGAGATGAGTGAAATGCATTGTCAGGGGACGCGGGGCTTACGCGCTCCGGATACGTCAGGATTTTGGCCACGTGCACGGGTACGGCCACTTCGTCGATCCTCAAGTTGGGATCCGGGGAAATGACGGTCCTGCCGGAGAAGTCCACCCTTTTTCCCGACAGATTGCCTCGGAAGCGGCCTGTGTCGTCACAGCACTTGATTGAATAACATTTCAGTTCATGGTTCTTAAAAAGCTTCTCCATTGATTTTTGGCCGTGAACAAAATGGAACGCCTCTAGCCTCCTACGACCTGGCGTCCACCTGTGTGGACATCACATTTTTTGGTTGTCAAGACTACAATGTTAAATTTTGGACTACAAGGGCCTGGCGTCCACTTATGAGGACGTTAAACTACACCCTAGTGGTGGAAGAAGAGTGTAACAAGCACATGTCAATTCAAATTCAAGTAAAAATTCAAGATGGCAGACAACCCACCCAAACATTCAGATAATAATAATACATTTCATATTGTGTTCACTCAAATTTAACGAATGTCCTCATATGTGGACATCATTTTTCTCAGAAACTACATCATGTAAAAAGATCATTCTTTGTTTTTACACTCATCAGGTCCCAATTAGCCTAAATATTGAACAGAAAATAAAAACGCAAGCCTTGCAAGAGTTCGGGTCTTACGGGGCTAGAGCAAAATTTGAAAGAGCTGTGGACCCGACGCAGACCAAAATGTTTGAATTATTTTGTGAATCCCGTAAGGGCGAGAGATATGGCTCCCCGACGGCCCCAGGTGTCAAATTCACAGTCCTCAAAGTTTGTAGCAAAATGCTATCAAATCATCATCATAACAGCATGTGATTGACGCCCGCCCAACTTCAAATTTTATTAAAATCAAAAACTCAGAAGCTAACGGCGAGCTAAAAACGACATCGATTGACAGCTTCATACGCCAAGTAAGATATGAAAATAAGTCCACCGCATACCTTGCTTGCCCTTGAGTCTCTGCACAAAGCCTCTGGTCCACTTCTTGGGCGCCATGTTGAGCGGGATGCCGGACAGCTCGCTGTTGATGTAGAGCGCGCACTGCAGCTGCAGGAAGTCCCAGTCCTCCATGATCATCTGCGTCTTGGCGCCTGTCATGCGATGCTGGAGGACAAGAGTTCAATTCCCCTGTGATGTCTTAAGGCACAAGTTTTCACAGGCCTTTTGCCGCTAGCATGTAGGCAATTAAAATCTGGGCATCGGTTACTTGCAGCAGGTCTCAACTTAAGCCCACCGCCCAACCTTTTTGATGACGTCATTAAGGAAGATGATCTCGGTGAGTTTCATGGTGAGGTCGTCCTCGTTGGTGCCCGACTTGAGGTCGCTGACCACGGAGGGCCGGATGCAGAGCGGCGGCACCAGCAGGCGGGTGAGGATGAGGTCGGCCGGTTTGCCCGCTTCGGGGTTCATCAGCAGCAGCGGTACGTCCTCTTGGGGGATGCGCATGAAGATGCTCAGCACCACCAAAGGGTTGAGGTTTTCCTGCACAGGAGACGCCAACACGTACGGACTTAATATAGAGTAAACAGTCACTTTGGAGTTGACCGATTATTGTTGGCGAATTAAAAAAAAAACAGAAAGAACAAATTGATACGTGGGCTGGCCTGAGCGCAGAACATTTGGACCTGTGCTCGCGCCAAAAGGGGCTCCATGAGTTTGTTGTGCTCGATGGCCGTGTCAAAGGACTGCAGGAAGTCGGACACGAAAGGCTCCACCACCTTCTTGGTGGTTTTGTATTTCTCGTGGATGATCTTCAGCAGGCCGCACTTCTTCACCGTCCCTGAGGAGCAGGCCAAGACGTCTAAGAGCACGACCACTACAAGTCCTGCAGAGAAATACTTTGTGGGATTCATCACCGTTGAACGCCGAACAATTGAGACAAACGCTTCTTTTGCGGCATTTGTCGGAGATTTTCTTCTTCAGCCCTCGCTTCTGTAGGTAGGGCAAATTGGGCCGTTTCAACATGTCCATGAACTGTAGCTTGTCCTCTTTACTCAGCATGATGCTCGAGCAAGTCTTGCAGACCATCTGAAAGAAAATGAACATGTCTTCTCAGTACATCCATAATGTTGCTTTTTTGCCCCCCCCCTCCCCAAATCACCGTTCTAGAATTATTTGCACTTACAATTGACATGAAAACAAAAGTTTGATTGTCCGCGAGTTTTGTTTTATAGCCATTTATCATGTGCACTGGCCTGTAATATTCCTATGATGGCTTTGAAGTAGCCAACGTGAAAACATGGCAGCTCCAGATCCAGGTAGCCGTAGTGTCCCAAACAATCAGCCAGATTCTTCCCACAGGTTAAACACGGTCGGTCTTTCTCGCTGGTCCCCTATATGACAAAATATATCAACACGTGACTGGTGCACTGGTTCAAATTCAGTGTTTAAATAAAGCATTTTCATACCATGCGGTGATCCAATACTCCATAAGGCAGCGGCGAGTGTTTTGTGTCCTGGCTGTACAGGTTCTTGCTGACCACCTGAATGTGGGCCTGCTGACGCATTTGATCAGCTGATTTCATGCCAAAGCAAATGTGGCTTCTGTAGGAAGAAGGGGGGGGGGTGGAGAGCATGCATTCGTTTCACAAAATGCAGCTCTTTCTCGCACAAACCGGAGCTTTTTGTGAAACAAAGCACATCAAGCAGAACACCCCTCAAAAACGTTTGAAGAATTTGTGCTATATTTATTCCTTTAACAATTTATGCAGTTTTTGTTCTCAACTCTTAATTTGTTTTTGCCTGTGTGTGTTTGAGTGTCAAATTAAAGGACATCTGCAAACTCAGTTCGGCTCTTGACCATTACTTATTTTTGTGAAACCTGCGCCCTTGACTTTCGATGATTCGTTTATCATCATTATTTGTTGTCTATTTCTGGGTTTGGTGAAATTTCCGATGATACCAGACTTTGACAATTGGATAATGAAGTTATGAAAGTTTGAAACTCTGGTTCAAAAAAAAAAAAAAAGGTCTCATCGAAAATCTTGAGACCGTCGACTTTGCATGAAGCCGAAGTGGCGCGTTTTAAACTGCCTTTAAAGAGCCAGAATATATGTGTACTGTCTAGAAAATGATGCTTATATCTTTGAAATCAGCTTTAAATTAACTGTCGGATAAAGCTGTTAAAAAAAAAAAACCCACATCATTGTAAACCGTCATGGCGTTAGCTTTAGCCGGCGAGCTAACGAAAGCTCGTGAGCTACTCACATTTTCTTGGCCACATCGGTCTCTCGGAACTGCTCCTTCACCATTTTGGCAGCGCTTCGCTTCGCTTCCCACGCGAATCTAGATAAACGTGCTTTATTCTTCTCTCATTCCGGCCAGCAAGATTAGACGACATACAACTTCACTGCACCATGTTGTGGATGAGCAAGCCGAGCAAACAAACACGCTGCTAGTACTGCACGTTGTGTTGCGTTCAGAGTCCAATTGTATTTTGCCCGACAATGGTAAAATGCATACTTTTTTTCACAAATTGGAAAAATAAAATGAATTGGAAACGTTCCGTCTCGGTCATCCTACAGGTGTAAAAAAAACTCTGGCTACTCACACCTCAGCTCATCAGCCAGCTGTGGAGAGGCGTGGAATCATCATGAACAATTGAATCAGGTGTGTTGGTGTTGGGAGGGATCGAAAACACGCAGGATATGACTCTCGAAGAACCGGATTTCCTTACCTTTGCTATACGTGTTAGTGGTTGACACAAAAATACACACAAAATAAATATACAAAATGTCACTGCCAGGACTTGCAAGTGAACTATATCGTGGGAAAACATAAAGTTACAGGGTGCTTTGAACGCAGCATAAAAATATCGATCTATTTTTTACATAACTTTATTCGTCTCGGTTTCTTCATATTGAAATTGTTTTTTTTTATACGATTAGTATATAAAAACTTACACAGTTTCGCACATAAAGTTGAGTACATTCTGAAATGTACAACAAAATCATACTTTACGCATATATGTGGGCAGTTGTCTAGCCGATAGTGATTGCGACATTACAACTTGTCACGAGATGGCAGCAAATTAATATCAGTCATTGATCGAAGTCGGTGTCAAACTTCAGTCCTGGAGGGCCGCCATCCTCCATGATTTCCATCGCTCACCTGATTTGAATGATCAGCTCATCTCAAGCTCTGTTGAAGCCTGATATCGATCCTGTTCATTGGAATCAAATGTGTTGCAACAGGGAGAGATGAAAAACATGCAGGTCAGCGGCCCTCCAGAACCGGAGTTTGACACCTATAATCGAAGCAAATGGCAAGTATTGCACATTTGTGCAGAAATAATTTCTAAAAGATTGCAGTTTCAAACAAATCATTTTGCACTCGGGGAGGGCCACGAGTCACATACTCTTATGAAACTCCATCTTCAAATCTTGAAACCTTCACCCAACTGTGAAGCTCTAACCCACACGAGATTGTGCTTGAAATTGAAAAGGAAAAAAACCCCAAAAGACTCATCCGCATTTTTAAAAAGACAATGTTTGAAGAACATAATGGCTCAAGTTCACATTTCTTGGCGAGACATTCAAGTGAAGCCACTGACGACTAGGTGAGCTGGCCGCAGTCGCTGATGGTGATCTTCTTGCTCGTGCGTCCCGAGCGCGAGCCCAAAGACTCCACCTTCTTCACCACGTCCAGTCCCTCCTTGACGCTGCCGAATACCACGTGTCGGCCGTCCAGCCTGTGATGGGGAAACAGCGCAACTTGGACAAAATTCAATTTGGGCACACTTTCCCAGTCAGCACGTACCAGTCGGTCTTGTCGGTGCAGATAAAGAACTGCGATCCATTGGTGTCTGGTCCTGCATTGGCCATAGACAAGATGCCTGCAGGAGCAAAGAGGGGTGTTCAGACTTATTTTTTCAAGAGAAGTAGAGCCCCCCCCCCACTCCCCTCATCCTACCAGGTCCGGTGTGCTTCAGCTTGAAGTTTTCATCTGGAAACTTCCATCCGTAAATGGACTTGCCGCCGGTTCCATTGTGGTTTGTGAAATCGCCACCCTTCAAAAAAAAGGGGGGGGGGGTGGCATTAAGATTTTTTTTTGGGGGGGTGGCGCGAGGACAGCAACAACAAGATCTTGCAGGTGCGTGCACTCACCTGGCACATAAACTGAGGGATGACCCGATGGAAGGTGGAGCCCTTGTAGCCAAAACCGTGCTCCCCCGTACACAGGGCCCGGAAGTTTTCTGCCAGAAGCAAATTAATTTCTTTAAATACACACGAAAAAAGAAACCGAAGGAAAAAAAAAACAACAAGAGGGGGAAGAATGTTGCACAAAAAGAATCCTCCCATCTTCCTGGAAAACACTCATGAGGATTACTGCACAACAACCAGTGCGTGACTCATTTGACATGGCTGGACAAAAATGCTCAACATACTGGTTGTAAATTTTGATTTCATAAGTTTTCAGAATGACCAAATAGTACAAAGAACTTTTTTTGCTTACCTGCGGTTTTTGGCACCACTTCAGCGTTCAGCTTGCCAAACCAACACAGACAACCCACAACAAAAGGGGAAATGGAGCATTCATTAGTTCAATTGCGACTGAATAAACGTGTGTCCAAAGTCAAATCAAGGTGAGGTATTATTTTATTTTTTTTCCTCCGTTTTTCAATGTGTCCTCACCTCGAAGGTTACCCGACCGAGAGGCTCGTTATCGGCTGAAATGTCGAAATATACCGTCGGGTTGTTGTTGGCAGCTGCCGGGCCATTGCTGCACATTCTCGTGACAGTGTACGCCAGAGAGCATAGTTTCACGCGGTTCGATATCAGCATCATTTTACCTGAGAAAAGAAAACGGAAATCTACCAAACAAGCTTGGCAAACTGGCCCAGGTCACTCAGCTCACGTTTCAAAGTCACGCCGTTTTTCTGTAATAGTAGGCGTAACCAGGAAGTATATACCGTCAAACCCGGAAGTAAACATGGGAGTGAAGTGTCGTACAAACATCGCGAGATTACAATGACGACAACGTTATCTGCATTTTGTTTAATGCTTAGCATGTAAATAAAATGTGATAGCTACTGTTGGATTATGGCTTTAGTTAAAAAAAAAACACACACATTAAAAAAAGACCGCATATAATCTGAATACATATTTATTGGATAAATATGAGGGTGTCACATGGTATAACTACATACAGCTCTGCAAGACTAAAAAACAAATGAAAAAAATTCCAATCAGTATGAAATGACTGTACTGTACATAATACAATGTACAAACACAGACTGTGGCGTGTCCATGATATAAAAAAATGTGGATTTACTTTACAATCTTCTGGACCTGTTATTTTTCCTTATTTTCTTTAGTGTGCAAGCGACAGACTAGAATATTTAAAATGACACCAACAGTCCCAAAAAGGGAGATAGGAGGATCAAACTAACAATTTTCCACTTCAAGTAGAGGGGTTGCAAGCTTTTTTTATTATTCTGAGGAAACAATGCACATTCCCAGGGATGTATGAATACATTTCTGTTCACATGTCTCTATATTCATTTACATATATACAGACATCCTTAGGACACGTGGCTTCGCTTTGCCCTGGACATCATTTCCAGGCCTTCCATGCTTCATTTTTATGTCTTTGTTATTCTTCTTTTTAAAACAAGACCCTTTGATGTGATTGTGCAACTACAGATTGAGGGCACACAAAAGTGGCTCACCTGTATGCAAGAAATAAACATGAATTCATCCGACGGCTCCATTCAAACAGTATACATATACATGAATAAAAAAATAAAAATAAAACGTGGCAGTGTATCGTCATTTTTTTGTCAGTGTGTTGAACTGGAAGAAGTGATTTAAATGACATCGTAAAAGAAAGTGTAGGGAGGCTACAGTGAGAGACAATTGGTTTCTCGTGTTACAGAAGAATAAAAAAAGTTAAAAAAAATAAATTACAAAGAAAAAGAATAGGGGTGAAATGTATATAGTAAAAAAGTTTTTTTTTTATGTCAAAGAATATAAACAATACCATTTCTTTAAAATATGCTCTTTAAAATACCAGCGTATTAACAACAATGATATTCACATTACATTGAAAGCCAGCAAGCACGTAAAAAAAAAAAAAAGTACAAAATAAATTACCCAAAAAAGGGGAGGGGAAATTTATATTGCAACAAAAATTGTGAAAGTAATAATAATAATAATGAACAGACTACAGTGAGATATTGAATTTCTAGAATTACAGATGAAGAATAAAAAAAAAGAAAAATACATTAAAAAGAAACACAGGCAACGCAGAAACTTCATGAAAACAATAATTAAAGTCAGGCCACAGTGAGAGACAACCGATTTCTCCCCTTACAGAAAAAGTATTTTTTAATAAGCGTTGAAATAAATTACCACAAAAAAAGGGGGGACAAGATGATGACATGGTTATGGCCACACCCTCCAACTTGTTTTTATGACAGAAATAATATAATCTTATCTGTTTTTTTTTAAAGGACGATGTTTAAAAATATTTCTTTCAAATATATGTCTGACATCTTTAATACACCAATGTAGTTTGTGATTATACTGAATACCAGAAAATAAAAAAAAAGAATTAAAAAACAAAACAAAAACAGTTCAGTATCTCTGACAGGCTTCTGCTGGCTAAAACAAATAAAAATAATAATGTTGATGTAGGGGCAAACAGATAGGAAATAACTTATATAACGTTTGAGGACCAAGAGGGATGACTTTCAAATTTGTTGTTTTGTTTCATCATCAACGTGATAGAAAAATATCCACAATCAACAAATTTACAGCCACAATAGCCTTTCTTAGAAAAAAATACATTTGCATACTTGAACAGCACTCTTCCGCTTCCAACAGACAGTCAAGGAAAAGCGGCACAAATACTGCCTTTCCCAGTCACCTTGCCGTGGATCAACTTGAGCCTTGAGCACACGCGCGCACACACACACACACACACACACACACACACACACACACACACACACACGCACGCACGCACACATTCGTCATTTCATTCCCGCCCTTCCGACTTTGGGTGAGCAGTTTACCAAAATGTGTTATGCTTCAATTAGCTAGAGACAGACAAACAAATAAAAATCCAGTCAATTGGTGCACTGAGCGATTTCAGCAGCAGATTTTCAGCTTGGCACACTGCACATCATCGTCAAGGCTGACAGAGAGAAGGAATGGGCATTTCATCAACTACGCCGTGAATTATGCATTTTTATATTCATTTTAGATGGAAGGGAATACAACAGAAAGTGATTTTGTAAGTGTTAAATTATTAAGAGCCTGGATAAATTTGGCAGTTTACGTGATTAAAAAAAAAGAATAAAAATAATAAAGCGAATTCTCCATGCATCTTATCCAACAGGAGATTCAGGACCGCGCCAGAGCAGTCAATTGTCAGAAAGAAAAGGACACTGGCCGAGAACTAGTATCTGATGTAACCGGCTTCTCCACGATAAGGACACTCACGTGATCCAGGAGGAGACTAAGGGCCGCTGCAACTTGAAGATTGTGGAGCACCATAATACAGGAAAATGTGAAGTTATTAAATCTTGTGTCGACACTTTCCTTTGTATTTACGGCTACCTGAAATGAATACAAAAACTGAAAATCGGGGTGGGGTGGGGACTAACCTGAAAAACTGAAACCCGGAGCACTGCTAATACTTTCCGGAAGATATCTTTAGCCCTTCACTTTTGGAGATTTTTTTTGAATTTGGAAGGGAGAAATGAACGATGTGCTTTTGAAATGAGGTGTGTGTCCATTTCCGATGATGATGATGAATGCGAATGCTACAAAGTGGACGAGTCAAAAATAGCTGCACAGTTCGAGTCGCCTCCCAATGAGGTGTTTTTTGTTTTTTTTGTTGTTTTTTTTAATGTCCTTTCTGAAGCAAAACTGTACAAGAGGAAGAAGAGAAGGGGAGTGCATCTTTGTTGTTTTTGTCAAGTACGGAGCCTTTGGGGCTTTTTTTTTTTTTTTCTTCTTTCAGTCCATGGCCAGCCTGGTCAATTGTTTTCAAAGAGCGACAGGAGGTCGTCGTTGCTATTGCTGGGGAGGTCCGGGGGGTCCAAGTAGGACAACAGCTCGTCCGGGTTGGCCAGCTCAGGAAGAAGCTGCAGTAAGTGGAGGAGGGGGAGAGACAGAGAAAACGCACAATGGAGATCATGTGCTTGCAAAAGTGCGCTTACTCTCTTAGAATTGGGCAATCTCACATTTCAACACACACCTGCCGCCGTTTCAAGTGCCCCTGATTTGACCCAAATCAAGTTTTGATGTTCTAGTCGGCTTTTTATAACCACTGGAGGTAGGTGAATGGACCATCTAGCGAACTATCCATTCATCCATCGATGAAAAGTTCGCCGGTTCTTTTGAGTTTAAAGCTCACTCTGCTAACATTAAGCGGCAAAAATCTTTTGAGCATTTTTTTAATGCTCGCGGGAAGATGGACATCAGCCATCCATCTATCCGCCCATCCATTTACTCATCTACTTCTCTATCATCCATACATCCTTCAGTCCATTTGTCAGTCACTATCCATCCATCCATCCATCCATGACTCTCGAATTAGAAGGGTTCTGTGTGCCGGTGGTACTCACGTCTAAAGAAGGTTCTGGCATGTCCGAGCCTGCTTGGCTGTCCAAACTGCTGGGGGTGTTGAAGCTCAGGTCGCTATGGGGGTGGCTGTTTGGACCGGGCTGCTGTTGCTGCTGCTGTTGCTGCTGCTGCTGAGATGACGGAGGGGGCGGCGGGGGTTGCCGCGATGGGGGCGGCTGTCCGCCGTGGTGGAGCTGCTGTTGCTGCCCCGATTGGCCGCCCGGATGCGGCGACCCGTGTATGCTTTGCTGCAACGTGCTATGAGATGGCTCGTTGACGGATGGGTGAGGTATCTGCAAAAAAAAGGGGGAGGGAAAAAGCACGTCAATTACTTTTCTACTCTCCACATGGAGGGGACACATTTTAGTCACGGGGAGATTCAGGGCAACTGTGAAAGTCGAACAGCCATGTGGCACTGAACATACTCGTCGCATCAAGACACACAACAGTGGTACAGAATGGGGGTCTCCTGTTTATCCACTGTAAGAAGAAATTTTATCCCAGAAGAGACTCAGGGCAGGAAAGTGGAGACTGTGGCAAAACGCAAAGATGACATGCAAACAAACACGGACAAGGGTCTGGTAGACTTCTCCTCGCAAATGTTATCCAAAGGGAGACTAAGGGCCAACCCCAACTCACCGAGTCAGGCAAGGCGTGCGAAAGAGGCTTGTCGGTGCTCATCAGGTTGTTGGGCATGTCGGGCGGGTGCGACAGTTGGGGCCCGTGCATGAAGTCATTGACGGACGTCGCGCCCGGCGTTCCGTGCGGGAACTCAAAGTTGCCGTGGTAACTGTTGCCTTGGAGAGAGAGCGCCACGCCACAACGTCAGCTTGGCTTTCAAAGCGGCGCTCGCTTTCTTGACCGACCGCTTACCTTGGGCAGCGTATTCACCGTTGTTGGAGGCTTGCTGCGAGGAGTACGGCGAGGGTCCGGGTCCGAGCTGGGCGATCATGTCGGTCACGTTGGGCATGATCATCTGGCTGGGGCTCATGGTCTTGAAGCGCTTGGCCAGTGGAGCGTCCGGGTCCTCCTTGATGTGGATCTCTGACTTGATGGCCACCGGCCGCCAACTGCACGTCGGGTCAATCGTCACCTCCTCCAACTCGGAGCTGAACAGAGCACAAGACACAAATGACTTAGAATACAAATACGATTTTTTTAAAAAATCTTTTGAGAAGAATACGATGATCATGTAAATAAAACGACACTTATTGCCTTACTTTTGAATGGCGTTCAAGATCCCCCACATGTACTGGTCCACCTCCAGCCCTTCTAACAATGCCGTTTTACTGAGAAAAAAAAACAAACAAAAAACTCAACAACGCAACAATCAGAATCAATTAGTTTTTAAAAACAAATATCAACGTACTTGCACACAGGACATCGCCACGTGCCCCGCTCACAGTTCAGCTGTAGATACGATTCCAAGTCGAAACACTGCAAGAAATCACCCTGATGATTGTGTCGACGTGTGATTTTTTTTTTTTTTCCCCCTAACCGTTGGAGTATTGGCTATTGGGTGTACCTGAACGTGCTTGCAGTCGTGGCCTCTGGCTGGCAGCTGGATACGCCGGAAGGTGATGGGACACTTGAGCGACACCTTGATGGCCGTCTGCTCCACGCCGTCCTCGCCGTTGAGGCCCGCGTTGCCCGAAGACGACGCCACGCTGCTGAAGTTCCTCTTGACTTTGGAGGTGAGCAACAACCATGTATGAAAAAGAAAAAGAAAGAAATATCGGTGCAGATTCAAATATCCTTTTGCTGCATTCTGGTGTCACAGGGCTCGGTGGGGGTCCAGCGTCTACCTTTGGTGATGCAGTGCTCAGCTGGTAGGAGCCTCTTCTTCAATAAACCTTGGAGGACGGAACGCACCGACGGCCTGTGGACCAGCTGCAGCACGAACAAGTGCGACTGCGGGAGGAAACGCCAGCGTGAACTAAGACCTCGCATTCGACAACCTTTTTTCGTCTCCCCCGACCACCCGAACCGGGCAACGCTTACGCAGCAGCAGGCCGTGACGGTGATCTGGATGGTGTTCCTGCCTGGTTGGCAGACGTGCTTGAGGTGCAAGGGCTTGTGGGAGGTCTTGTTGTCGCCGCGCTCGATGGTGAGCGGGGTGGCGTTGACGCTGACCTGCACGGACGCCGGCCAGTTGGTGTTCATCTGCCGGTCCTCGTGGTGGTAGCACTTGAACTGCAGCTCGAGGTCCGACCTGGAACCGGGAGAGCAACTTTGGAGTCATTCCCAAGACCTCAGTCAAGATATTCCGATTGCGACTAACCGGGTGGAAAAACGACCTTTTCCTCCACCAACATTTCCACGGACCGTCCTTAAGTCCGAAGTCTTACCTCCACATAAGCGTCTGGTGCACCGAGGGTCGTAAGTGGAAGACGTGATTGCTGACTGCTAGGTTATGCTCCAGCCTGAAGGGCTCCAGGACCACGCCGTCGCGCACCGGGAAGGTGAGGCGCAGCTCCTCGTTGTGGTTGGCTAGAAAAGATGACGAGCGATCAGATTCATGACTCAAGGTTACGTTTCTCTGCTCAAAAATAAGAGACCGTTACAAACCGGGCGGTGGAGGAAGAGCGGCGATATTTGGTTTGATGTCAGGAGGAAAGGGCGGCTTCACATCCTGACTGGGTGATAAATACGGAGGGATGTTGCTTCCTGGGGTCATTGGAGGGGTGGGATTGCCCGGTACAGGGGAGTGGGGGTAGTTGCCCATCGGTCTGGATGGCTGGATGAAAAGAAATTGGAATATTTCAAACAAAATGAAGGAGTGTGACCAACACAAAAATTTTGGTTTGATAGCGTGGACTTACCCCATTCATATTACCCTGGCTGTACTGATAACCGCTCCCGGAAAAGTTTGTGGTTTGGCCGTTAAAAGGCGGCTCTTGCTGTTGTGATGAAAAAAAAAAAGAAAGAAAAGGAAGCAGCAATGTGAGAATAATTTCCCAGCAGTCAGTTAATGCACCCCATGCATTTGTAGTTTGCGCTGAGGCGTCGTACCTTATAATATTGGCCCATGGGACCACTCGGGGGTGGATATTGGGACTGGAGCGGCTGTCCCGGCATCCGTTGCCCGGGGTAGTTGCTGGAGGGCAGCGGCCTGGAAGCATTGGGTGTCGGGTACTGGCCCTGCTGGCTGGGGAACTGGCTGTTTGGTCCATACTGCTGCCCCCCGTAGTTCGGCTGCGATTGAGAAAGACATTCAACAATGAGCAATAATGGAAGAGGAAAAATTCAAGAAAAAAAAAAAAAAAGTCCAGGCTCAAGCTCAGCCCAGAATTTAAAACAGCGATGCGTAAATATAGACTCACCTCCCCTGGATAGGGCCTTTTCATCCCCTGCATAGGCATGCCTTGAGGCCGCGGTCCCGCATACCCTTGCTGGGGCATCCTTTGGCCGTGACCTCCGAAGGGTCCCATGCCTTGGCCCCTGGGCTGGTTCATCGCCATCGGGGGGCCGCTCATGCTGGATGCATTCATGCCTGAGCCCATGTTCCCAGGGTGGGACGGGGGTCCGCGCGGTCCCGGCTGGTTCATAAACTGGCTATTGTAGGCCTGGTTGGGTCCCATCTGGAAAGAGGAACTCATCTGGAAGACAAAAAAAAAATAAAAAAATCGGGCTCGATCTGCGTCTTGAGAGAGGCGTCAAATGCGTTGTCCTCGTGTTTGGGCTTACTGGTCCGTATTGGTTCATGTCCTTGTTCTGAGTCTCCTGTAGAGCGGCGACAGTGGCGGTGGCGGTGGCCGTCGCCGTGGCGGCGGCGGCAGCGACGGCGGCAGCGGCGGC